TTATTTTTATTTATTTATTTTTTGGTACCGGGGATTGAACTCGGGTCCTTGCGCTTGCACAGCAGGCGGCGAAACCACTGAGCTAAATCCCAGGCCCCAAGGCAGCATTTTAGATTGGAAACTAGGACAGAAAGAAGACATGAATAGAAAAACTAGTGAACTCTCAAAAGTCTAGAATTTAATTAACAGTAATACACTAGAATTTCTTTCTTAGTTAACTGACAAATCTGTCAGATATGCGAGGGGAAATCAGGTCAAGCATGCAGGGATTGACCATACTATCTTTGTAATTCTGTAAATCTAAAATTATTCTAAAAACATTTATACATTTACACACACACAAACTGTACTTTATGGTTATCTACAATTCAAATGCCAGTGAGCAGAAAACTGGCCTCAATATAAGAGAGGAAAAGAAGGCTGACCACCCGGCCCCCTCCCTTTTTTTTTGTACTGGGGACGGAACTAGGGTCCTTGCACCACCTGGCCTCTTAAGGAGAAGGGCTGAGAGCAGATCTGCCCAGGATCCAGGAGAGCCTGGGCCACCGTTAACATTAAAGCCCCGTCAGCATCCAAATCAAGACCCAAAGGGCAACTCCAAGTCTGCACTACAGCGACATTTTTACCAAAACTCAAACCTGAGAATATTACTTCACACAAACCAGGAAAGGGCTTGGATGACCTGGTCATCCCAAGACAGAATGAAAAGATAAAAAAGGCTCAAGAAACCCCGACATAAACTCTTCCATAAGGACAGTGAAGGGTGACACCTGGGACACGTTCCCCAGGGCACAAGGCTTTAAAAGGCAAAAAGATTTTTCTCTATGAGAGGAATGGACCAGCAGACCAGGGATTAGCCTTAATGTAGCAATTTTACATATGTTAATTGGCTTATAAAATAAAGCACAATTTTTCATTCTCCAGCCCTTTTTCACTTTGTATTTTTAAGACAGGGTCTCCTTAAGTCACTGAGATACCCAGGCACTGAGATATCCAGGCTGGGCTCAAACTTGCAATTCTCCTGCCTCAGCCTTCCAGAGTCCCGGGATTATAGGCATGGCTACCACTCCTGGCTTCATGCAACTTCTTAGGAGTAAAACTACAATTCAGAAATAGTAGAACTAAAAATATTACAGCCCACAATCCTTCATGTTGATGATTATTACCATTACTTCTGGGTTACTCTTTATGTTCAGCTCACTCTGTGTAAATCCTTCAAAATCTTCAGCCTCTGAGTCAGTGTCCTCTATAAAAATTCTTCTCAGCTCATCCGTGAAGTATTTAGAATGGAAATGCACACCCTGCTAAATTAAAAATGCACATATATCATACAGACAGGAAGTAGCAATTACTGGGGAATGGGGGAAGGGGAGAATGGAGAATCACCATTCAATGGGTACAAGTTTCTGTTGCAGATGATGAAAGGTTCTGGAGACAGATGGTAGTGACATTAAACAACATGGCAAATAACTTAATGCCACTGAACTGTACACGTAAAATGGTTAATATGAAAATGTTTGTATTACAACCATTTTACCACAATAAAGACATACACATTTTCTTAAAACAGAGAAATTAAGACTGACAAATGAGGCAGAGGTGGCATGCACCCATAATCTCAGCACTAGGGAGGCTGAAGCAGGAGGATCAAAGTTCAAGTCCCACCTGGAGAACTTAATGAGACGCTGTCTCAAAAAAAAAATTTAAAAGGGCTGGGGATGTACCTCAGTGTGAAGGCCACAAAAAGACCTACACACTGGACAATTTCAAAAGTACCAAAATGATTGTCGCCTTAGTCACTTTAGGCATGACTGACAGGTGCTGCAGGAATTCACCTTCTCCTGCGCCTGCAAAGCTGGCAACCAGAAATGTCTGCTTTCACATGGAACCAACACAAAAAAGGAAAAAGGACCTGAGACAAGAACCTGACTTCCTTTCACACACAGGCTTGCTCCCTAACAGCACCCAGAACCCGAGTCTGCTCCCCATGGCTGAGTCTGCCTCCCCTTCAGAGCTGGGGACCCTCACACCCTCAGCACTGCAAGACAGACTTGGACTCGCTCCATGGCCAGATGGTGATGCACAGCTGCCACCCTCTCGTCCCCAGAGCACCTGTCTTACAGAAGGCAAGAGGTCAATGACCACAGTTCCACCACAGGTGAGCAGACATTACATGACTCATCTTAAAAGTCACGACCGGAGTGTGCAGGATAATGCTGTAATTCCAGTACTCTGGGAGGCTGAGGCAGGAAGATGGCAAGTGTGAATCCCACCTGGGCAAATTTGCAAGACCCTTGCCTCAAAATAAAAGAAATTAAAAAGGGCTAGGGATAGAGCTCAGTGCAAAGGGCCTGGGTTCAGTCCCCAGTACTGCAAAAAAAGAAAAAAAAAAAGGAAAGATATTTCCCAATAATGACTTTTCCCTTCTTTTATTATACTATGGTAGAAAGAAGGAAACCCAGCTCTTTTAACTGCATGTCTGAAAGGAGAGAGAAAGAACTACAGAGCCAAAGGGAGACCCCCATGGGCAGCCTGCTGTGAGCCCCAACACTCCATCAGGGCTGAGTTTCTGTCCCCAGATTCCACTCACCCTCTCACCCTGATAGAGCAGTGACCCCCATGACCCTCCCTAGCTCCCCCTTGCCTTCCCCTGACTTTAATTATATACTTGTGCAAGCTCAGGTATCTCGGGGGGAAAAAGATATAATAGATGAGTGGAAAAACAGGGATAGAGAAAGAAATGCCTACATCTAGCAAGCTTTAAGCTTAAAAATGTCTCCTATGAATTATTATGGGTAATTGGAGTGAGTCTGCTCAGAGCTAAATTACTTTGTTCCTTTGTTGATAGCAGTGGTGCAGCTGCTTGGAAAAAAAATACAGAAAAAGGGAAGCTTTTTTTAAAGTGAAATTCATATTGTGTTCAAGGGAGACTAGAGTCAGCTACATACACTATGCGCTCAAGAGCATGCAGCCTTTCTCAGCTGGTTAAAATGGATCGCAGTACGCGGGGTTGACAAGTGGGAGCCCAGTGCTGATCACAGAGGAAGACCTGGGGAACAGAGCTGGTGGCTGCTGATAAGGCCACCATGCACCTGGGTCCAGGGACATCTGGCTCTGCCCCTGCAGGCTGTTCTAGGACAATGGGTCTGTTTGCATTTCATGACATAGCCAAATCTCCTGCCCACAGCCTAAAAAGGACAAGCCTCAGAAGAGTAAGTCCAACTTTCTAATCCTTCTGGGCTTTTCTATCCTTTGTACTGACCTCATAGGGCAGTGGACAGCCTGGGAGAAATCACTGGTCCTGAAATGACCAGTCCTGATGGAAAAAAAAACTTAGCTACAATCCTAACCTGAGGCTTAGGCTTTGATTTTCCTTACTCCAAAGGGTATAAAACCTGTTTTTCACATACGTCTGTACAGAACTGATAGGTACTCAGATTCTCGCTGCATTCTTGGGTACAACCTTCAACAGCTAGTTGCTCTCCAGAATGTGTTCATTAACACATATGAAGAACTGGAAAAAATGAGAGCCCCCCCCCAAATTTACAGACCCAATCCAAAAATGGGCATCAGAGATGAATACATACTTCTCAGATAAAGAAGTACAAACAACAAATAAATACATGAAAAAATGTTCAACATCACTGATCATTTGAGAGATGCAAATTAAAACACCACTGAGATTCCATCTCATTCCAGAAAGAATGGCTATCAACCAATAATAAATGCTGGCGGGGCTGTGGGGAAAAAAGAATCCTTCTCTACCTTTTGGTGGGAGTGCAGACTGGTGCAGCCACTGTGGAGATCAGTGCGGAGACTCCTCAAAAAACTGGGATTAGAGGTCCCATTTGACCCAGCTATTCTCCCTTCTGGGTATCTTCCCAAAAGAATTAAAAGCATCACACCAAAGCAATATATGCACACTCATGTTTATACCAGCACAATTTACAATAGCTAAATCTTGGCAACACCCCAAGTGCCCATCAACTAATGAATGGATAAAAAAGATGTGGGTTTTCTTAATATAATGGAGTACTATTCAGCCATAAAGAAGGATACACTTGAGACATTTCTAGGTAAACAGATGCACCTTGGGCCAGGGATTTAGCTCAGCCGTTCCGCCGCCTGCCTCACAGGCGCAAGGACCTGAGTTCGATCCCCGGTACCAAAAAACCCCCCAAAAAACATGGATGCACCTTGAAACCATACTCTCAACTGAAATAAATTGAGCACATATATGTAAATATTGCATTGACTCTCTGATGTGAGAAACTGAAAGTGTAAATAAGGACCAAAATACATAATAGATACTGTAAAGTAGGAAGAAATTGTTCAAAATTATACAGAGTGTGAGATACTTTGTTAATAATTAAAATGTTTTATGCCCCCAAAAAAGGTGTAGCATTATTAGGAAATGAGTTGAGAGCTAAGATTAGCATATAATATATTCTTTTATATTAGCATAAAATATATTCTTTTAAGATCATGATACACACTGTATTTACCATTGTTATTCTCCATTCTTAGGAAAAATTATTTTTTCATAGAACTGCTTTTATACTTTCCTTATTAATATCTACTTGTATTACATTAAAATAAAAATGAAAAACAGAATGTGTTCATGATCCTTCAAAATCAATACAGGTTGGGCTGGGATTGGGCTCAGTGGCACTGCGCCTGCCTCACAAGCACAAGGTCCCAAGTTCAATACCAGAAAAAAAAAATCAATACAGGGTCCTATGTGGTGGGCCCCAGTCACCAACAGCTACTGGGACCACAACCATACGCAAATAACAGGTCAGAAGAGGAAGGGCCACAGTGGTATGTTGTTTTGAAGCCCATGTGACATGGAAACAGACTGGAGAGCCACGGCCTGCCGAACCAGTTTGATGGCACCCGTTTCAACTGTGCCCAACACCCACAGGTGCTCATTTCTGTGGAGGAGTAAGGGTGCTGGGTGCTTGAAACAAGAGGAAAGGGTCAACATGAGGACAAAAAGCCAGAGCCCAGGAGGCGAGAAAGCACCCATCAAGGATGAGCTCCTGCTATAAGGAGCTGTAATCTAGTAGGGGAACCCGACAAGTCCAGAAGAAACCACGGTGAGAGTCAGGGTTGCAAGGAGGGAAGGAAGTCTGGAAGCAGCAGTCTCTGAACTGGACCTGAACCAGGACGAGTCTAGAGAAACGGTACGGAGCACACAGGCAGGACCAACTGTGGACCAGGGGACAGAAAGGGCAGAACCACGCATGGTGAGGGAATCAACCCAGTTCCGGGCTCAGAAGCACAGCAGGGAGGGAAGGGACCCGGGAAGGTAACAGGCTGCAAAGTGGTGACATCTCGGGGCACTTCCCAGATGTGAGGCCTTCAGCAAGTCTTTCCCCTACCTGAGCTTTGGTTCCATCTCCTGTGAAATGGGACAGTGACAGCACCTCCACCCACCCAGCGAGGTCCATAGAGAAGTGCAGTGTCTGCATGAAAAGCACACGCCACACTATCATGGCTGTCCACAGCCTGCTGGGGTCAGGGTGTGGAGGTGGGCGGACAGGCCTGACTGGGAAAGCAGTTGTCATGGCAGCAAAAGCAGCGGCTCTGCTTCTCAATGCCCAGCACGTGCCAGGCTCTGCGCTGGGCCCTTTACACTGCTCGCCATGGTCCTCAAGGGGATCTGACAGGCTGCAAACTCCCTCCCCTCCCTCAGTGCCTGACCCTGAGCAGAGCAACTGGAGGGGCAGTGACCAGAGTAGTTCCTGAGAGAGCCCGGCAGAAAGGGTAAGGGTGAAGGGGCTGGGGACAGCTAAAGGAAGAGAAGGGAAGGCACGCACACTTCCTCTTTTCCTGGAGTGGTGTGAAGGAGATGAGAAAGGAGTAGGAAGAGGAGCAAGCAGAGGAGGAATCAATAATAACAGATGGAGATTAAAAATAATGGGCAAATGGGAAAGCCAGACAGACAAGCAGGGGAGAGAAACATGGTGAGCTTCAGCTGTCCCTTGAAGAACCTAGGCCAGTCCAACTGGAAGTCAGAAATATCTCTGGGGCTGGACAGAGAAGCTAAGCTACACATAAAACACATGGCAGCAGCTAAAAGCACTATAGTTGATGTCAATGAGGTCACTCATGGTAAAAAGGTCTGAGCACAAAATGTTAGGAAATACCCACATTTAAGGACAGGAAAAGAGTTGACAGCAAACAGCACAAGGTCTAACAGAAAGGGAGAACCAGAGGCGTGAATGGAATGATTCTGTGGAATGCTGTGGAGACATCAAACAAAATGAGGCCCAGAGACTGGGGAAGCTGGCAAACCCCAGAAAGCACAGCACCCAGAGGCCAGAACACACACAGTGATCAGAGTGATGAAGTGGGCTCTCCTGCTTCCCTTCTTGGGTCTGCTCAGCTGAAGCGAGGGGGGTTAGTTTACAGTCTTTGAGGAGAAGCTGTGGTAGAGGGAGAATGAGGAGTTTTAAGTGTTACAATAAACTCAGAAGAAAATGCCACTGAAGGCTAGATATTTTGATTGGCCACTTCACTGCTAAGGCACAATATAAACCTCCAGGAATCTAACTCTCAGAGAACTGTAACTTGTGTTTGCTACTGATCAAAGTAATTAAAGAAAGACTAATGCTCTCCCCAGCAGTTCCGAGAGTGAGTACCGATAGACTCTCACTACAGGACCACAGCGAGGCAACTGTCTCACAGTAACTGCACATTTCGCGTGCGCCTCACTGCACCATGCGGTGCGGGTCTGCGAAGCGGGCCAGCCCTCCCCTGCCAGCTGCGTGGGAGGACTCTGCCTACAGCCTCACCCCAGGTGACAGCCAAGGAAATGGATTTGATCATGTGAGGTCCTTTTACTGAAAAGAAATATTTTAATGGGCAGGATTAAAACAGCAAACATGAACAGAATCCTCTTGCCAGTTCCTTAAAACATGAAGGCACAATGCTTCTAAAATACAATGTTCAGTAACTAACTGGCATCACTGATCTTGGACCACGCTGAAATCAAAGAACACCCACATCAAGAAGCAGGCTTCCAGAGGAACACACCTGCCTTAGAAGGAAACATCTGTACCTGTTTTCTCAACTCCAGGGAATCAAAACTATTGCAGCTTTCCTCGGAGGACAGGGTTTCCATGGGAACATCATCTCGGAAACCGACGAACTCTTCATCATCACTGGGGGCGTTAAAGATGTCAGCCACTTCTTTAGGGATCTGTTTCAGATTCAAAAAAAGATAAAACTGGGACTGTTGCAATCACTTACCAAGATTCCTGGAGGAAAGCAGGAATCACCTGGTAACTACCACGTTGCCATGGTCAACAGAAGGCCCCAATAACCCTGAACAAAAATGGCTTCAGCTATGACCTCAGGGTAAAAAACAGAACAGAGAAGATGTCTTCCAACTCTAGACACAAGCCCTATCTTACACAGAGTGTTGAGACCATGCCTAAACAGAAACCATCTTTGATTTCTTGACAGGGAGAGTCAAAGGGTGGGAGGGAAGAAACAAAATAAGCATCAGTTTCTGAGAAACCAATGATGTTATTTCTCTTCAGTATCATTCATATTTAAAAAAAGATTCCCTCAAATGTTAAGCTCCTCTTTTCTTAAATAATCTCAACCTGGCAGGGCACAAATGGGCTGGGCAGGCAGCCTAGTTTTCCGAGAGGTAAGTTCATCAAGATGTCCAGTGATAGGCAAAGGCCCGATGATGACGGCCCCAGCACTAGCAGTGGCAGTTCAGATGCGGACCAGTAAGACCCAGCTGCTCCAGAGCCTGAAGAGCAAGAAGAAAGAACACCTGCCACCCAGCAGAAGAAAACCACTAAATTCTCTAGCAAAACCTCTGCTAAGTTATTCACTAGTGATAAAAGAATACAGAAGGAACTAGCCAAAATAACCCTTGATCTTCCTAACTGTAGGTGGGGCCTAAAGGAGGTAACATTTATGAATGGAAAGCAACTAAACTTAAGCCACCAGGTTCTGTATATGATGGTGGTGTGTTTTTTCTGGGTATCACATTTTCATCGGATTATCCATTTAAGCCACCAGAGGTTACTATCTATCACTGCAATGTCAACAGTCAGGAGTCATCTGGTCTGGATATACTTAAAGACAAGTGGAGTCCTGCTTTGACTATTTCAAAGGTTTTGCTGTCTATTTGTTCCCTTTTGACAGACTGCAACCCTGTGGATCCTCTAGATAGAAGCACAGCCATTCAGTATTTGACCAACAGAGCAGAACATGACAGGAGAGCCAAACAGTGGATCAACAGACATGCAGCACGCTTCACAGGATATGTATGCAGTGTGAGGGGGCAGGAGGCATCTTCCCACTGTGCAGCAAATCTTTACAGCCTTTACAATAGACTTCTGTGCCTATGTTATACTGATCCTACTCTCTGCTTTTATCCTTTGGAGACTAGGAGACTCCCCCAAAACTTAAATGCTATCAAGAGTAGAACTTCACAGCTATACATTAGTTATGTTCAAAAGGCCTACTTGGAAGTCTTGCTTCTTTGGGATATCAAAATATATTTCCTGATTTACTAAGGATTCTGGTCCTACAGTCTACCAAATATTATAGTACATTGTAGCCTAATTCATTATCAGTATGAAGTTATAAAAGTAGCAGTAGATAATGATGCTTATGTCATCTGTATTAAACTCAGATCTATTTCTGAGTATATGGTTTAAGCTATTGTGACAATCCTTTACTTTTGTTAGTTTGTAATGACAGGATTTCCTTTTACCCTTTGTAGCTCAGAGAGCACTGATGTATCATCTCGAACACAATAAACATGCTCCTGAAGGGGAAAAATACCTCAACCTATATTCTCTTTCTGTTGTCATATGTTGACTCAGAGATATAAAAGTTCATACAATGAAACTAATAATATTCCCTCTTTTCTATACAGGAGATCAATTTAAGTAGCTGTAGAATTAATTCCAAAAGAATTTAAATGCCATTGGGGGCAATTATTCCCAGAGAGAATGTTATCAACACACAATCTAACAAATAATATTTCCTGGGAATTCATTTTTTCTCCCAACTATTTTAAAAAGTTCAAACACACAGAAATGTTAAAAAAAAATAAAAAAATAAAAAACACCTGTACATTCTTCATTAAGACGCACCATTTATATCCATTATTTGCTTTTTCTCTCCCTTTCAACAAACATTAGGCTGAACCACTGACTAGTGATGTCGAACCTTTCAGAGCTTTAAATCATATAAACAGTCCCCATAGGTTCGCCACCACTGTGGTAGACATTTTTTAATAGGACTATTTCCATAATGTAGTATCAGCCAACCTAATGTGTGTATACCTACATACCATTTAATGTTATTTGTGCACACACTGTGTCTTAAAATACTTCAGCATACATCTCCCCAAGACAAGGACATTCTTCTACAGAATGATAAAACCACAATCATACCTAAAGTAATTAACATTAATTCACTAATATCATTTACTATAATTATGTTAATCATGGCACTGACCCCAAAATGTCTTTAACGACTTTTCAGGGGCCAAGAAGGCCCACTCAAGCAAGGCTCGTGCATTGCATTTGACCCTTTACGACACCATTTTGTGTTGCTTTTTACAACTGATCAAAATTTTTGGATAATCTAGCACAAATGCCTTATAAAATGTCATGCATTCAGAGCTTACCTAATTCTTTTCTCAAGGTTACATTTGGGTTAAATGTTTTTGGCACGAATTCTATGCAAGTGAAACATTTTTCAATGCACTGCATATGGAGGCACAAAATATGATGTTATACCATTATTAATTAGTAGTGTTTTTAAAATTAATTCCAAAAACTTTCAAACATATTTCAGAAGTAGACCAAGTAGTATAATGAACATAACATGTTGACCCCAAGCAATTACCTGCCATGGCTAATTTGCTTCATCTGCATACCTACCCAAATCATGTAACGAAGGATGGGGTTCATCAGACAGCTCTGGAGAGCTTAACCAGGAGGCTTCCACAAGAGCTGAACCAGGAAGGTGCACAAGATTTACCTGCATGCAGGAGGTAGCTCACCCCATGGGGATTGAAGCATCTGCCCTGGAGACACTTGTAGCCTTCACCCTATGCTTGTGTACCTGTTAAATTTCCTTTATAATAAACCAGTAAACCTAAGTATGTATTTTCCTGAGTTCTGTCAGCAGGTCTAGCAGAGTAATCAAACCCACAGAGGTAGTGTGGGAAGCCCAACTGGCATTCAGTCCTCTGGCCAGAAGTTCCAGAGGCCCAGACTTTGGCACATGAAGTGGAAACTCAATCTGCAGGGTCTGATGCTACTTCCTCCAGGTTAATAGTCAAAAGCGAATTAAATTAGAGGATACCCAGCTGGGTTTCACTGCAGACTGGCTTGCTGGCTTGCTAGTGAGGAGAAATCTATCCACAGAAAAGATTGGTACTATGAAATGAGCATATAGGAGGGGAAACTGGGTTTATTTTTCTTCTACAGAGTAAGACATTCTAGAGTTTTTGAATGAACAGAGCAAGAATATTTTAACTATCTTAAAACACAAATTCATAATGACACCTTGAATTCAAATCTAACATTGCAATTCCTCGTGTCCCTCAATCCCATACTGGTATCACCCTTCCCCCACAATGAAAACCCCAACTCTCAATATTTCTAATATTCTTATCAATGTGCTCTCTCTACAATACACTCAAAGTTGTGTCAAACTTCTTCTACCGACATACTGCCAACAAACGTCCTTACCACACAGTCCCACTAGATACTAGATCTCTTTTCTTCAGGTAACCAAGCGTTATCCTGGAGGATGCACAAGACCTTTCCAGGTACTTCCCATTTCATCAGAGTATATATATTTTTTTGTATTAAATTCTTTTATTGGTACATTGTAAGTATACAACACAATTACATTTCTCATTGGGAATTGTACCTTTACATAATGCATCTTGGTTCTTATTTTTTCCCCATTCCTAGCCCTCCCTTCACCCCCTCCACCCTTCCCTATTTACAAAGACTTTATTTCCATTTTTTCCATTTCTCATCATTCTTCCTTCCCCTTCTTTCCTTTCCCCTGCCCCTCCCACTAACCCTACCCCTTTGGACCTTTTCTTCCTATTTTACATTATCGATTATTCATTCTAATCATTGGTACATTTTAGGTATACAATATAAAGACATTCATCATTGGAAATTTGCACCTTTACATAGTCTCTCTTGGTTCTTATTTTTCACCCTTGCCCAGCCCTCCCTTCAACCCCTCCAGCCCTCCCTATTTACAAAGATTTTGTTCCTATTTTTCCATTTTCTCTTCAGAGTATATTAAAAAGTAAGGTCCTCCTGCCAGCCAGATGCGATGGCACATGCCTGTAACCCCAGTACTTTGGGAGTTCAAGTCCCACTTGGGCAATTTAATAATTTGACAAGACCTTGTCTCAAAATTTAAAATAGAAGGGTCTGGGGACATAGCTCATTGGCAGAGCACCTGTGGGTTAGATCCCCAGTACCAAAAAAAAAAAAAAAAGCCCTCAAGGGTCAAGACTTAAGAACAGTAAGGGCCGGGCCGGGGATTTAGCTCAGTGGTACCGCCACCTGCCTTGTCCAAAAAAAATAAAATAATAATAATTTTTACTCCATCATTAGAACAGTCTTATGTAAAACTGACATTTCCTTTTTAAACTGAGTGTGTGGAGGTGACTAATGAAATGACTACTAGGAGAGTTTACTGCCATAACCTTGACTCATGTCAAAGGCCAGGAGTTTTCTCTACTTTCGCTTTTTGCACAATCAATGCAAATATCAACACAACAAAAAATGCAACTAATTCCTGAATATCATCATGACAATAAATTTGCCCTCATCAACCACTAAGAGCCTCAGGGGCAGGGGGATCCCTGCAGCCTACTTGGACTGTGGTGCAGGCACAGATTTGTGTATTCTAAAACTACTTGTATTCTTTGAATTCTCTGTGAATTTTATACTTTGTTCCTATTGAGAAATTACTAATCCCTGATCCACTTATTTTTTTAGTACTTTTAACGTTTCTTGCTTAAAATTGATTAAAAATTAATAGTTCAATCACAGGAAGTTTAACGTTTTTAGAGAACTTAAATCCAAAGACTATGGTATTAGATGATATTCAATGATATTAGAGGATTAAAGGAAACACTTTCTTGTCATCTAATAAAATCATCAACAAGGAAAACAGAACACT